AATTAGGAGCTCGTAAATTTGCTATTTTACCTATCCGAAACTTGTGGGACTGGATTTTGCACCATATCTGACGTCATTGTGACATTCATGTTATTTCGACATTATCCAGAACTCTTTATCAGCCACCCGTGGGACAGAATCGAAAAGTTTTATATGGGGCTTGTAAAAAAAATGACATTGACATTTAAAACGTCACAGCGTTATCTGCTATTTAAAATTGGTGGGACAGAAATTTTGTATTTTATCTGACGTGACGTCATATTTACACTATCAGGGCCTCTATCTACCACCGGTGGGACAGGCCCTAAATTATATTGGTTAAAATTTGTAGTAACTAATTATTTTTTGTCGTAAGCCACTTTTTCTCTTCGTTGCTGCAATATCTAGAATTCGTTTAAGCTGTAGCAATTGCCTCTTAGAGACTGTACCTTTGTTTTAGATACAGGACATATTTGACAATACTTTAATGGGCACTTGCAAGGTATCTGCAACATTTAAAATACCCATTATCTTAAATATTAAGGGCTTGTCCCACCACTAGCTGATAGAGTCTCAGATTGCTTAATTACGTCATGGTCAGATAAGGGAACAAAATCCGATATTTCCATCACATATTTTACAAGTTGGATTGTTATCAGACAGTTTAGAATTTGGTGGGACAGGCCCTAAATTTGTTAAAAGCGAAAAATACATTCTTCGCGTGGTACATAGCTAGGGGCAATATTTCGCCATTGAGCAACGGTTTTTGTGCGTAATCCTGCCGACCGCGTGCCCGCGAAGCCCGCGCCACGCGACCCTATATCCAATTAGCGAACGACCGCGACTACAGCGTGGATTATCAATGTTACAACCTACCCCTCCGCTCCCCGCACATACCTCTACCCTATCAACAACTTGCGGACTTCGAAAAACGTGAGATATGCACGTGATTTCAATCCTGCGCCGAAAGCTGATCCAACTCTTTACCGAGTCTTGATTGCCAATTTCTTGTGATCGACCAATTAGTTACTAAAGTAGAATTAACCGAAATTTCATCGAAATTAAGGAGATTAAAAGGAGAAATGGAATAGATCTTACTAATATTATGAAAGCGAAAGTTTAGATGGATGGATGGATGGATGTTTGTTAGCGTTTGTAGCCTAAACGGCTGAACGGATCTCCATGAAATTTGGCACAGGTTTAGAGCATAGTTTGGAAGAATACATAGGCTACTTTTTATCTCGGGAATAGTTACGGTTCCCGTGGGATTCATTAATTTAGTTTTTTAATGTTTACTCGATCATTCTGCAACAGTTCAACATATCTTATTGAAATTTGGCACAGATGTAAAACAAAGTCTGGAGTACACATGGGATAAGCTTCATCCCCGAGGTGTCCGGTTCCCGAGGGATACGTACGTAGCTTTTTGTTATTTATATAGTTCGCATATTTTCTAATACCACGCGGACGAAGTCGCGGGCAACAGCTATTTAATATATAAAATTCATTATTATGACGATGAAAACCGTCCGTACAGCAGCACGTTTTAAGCCCCTTTGCCCGAGCGGTTTTTCCAACTTTCTCAACTTACCAGTAAAAGTTGTGAAACATGGCCACGTGAGAAGTTTTAAAGCTATTACGACCGAACATGCGAACTAATTAAACATTCATTAACTTCATGGCTACCTAACTAAATTTTTTTTCGAGACTGAATTGCCAGTGTTTGCCTTGAAGAGTCATTTACAGATTCACCGTTCTTGAGATGGCTGAGCGCAGATGTCGTTTAGCCTAAACCTCGTTTATTTATGAGTAAATAAGCTCGAGGGCACCCTCAGGAGCCTCGGTAGAGGCCACTACTTTGTTAATATTACCGGATTGGTTTATCTGTCCATGTGAGAAAAATAATGTTTTGTCCTAATCATAGTTTGATCAATCCAGTAGTTTCGAGACATTACATTGAGTATTGAAGTTATTTAATAGAAATGGAAGATCGCGTTATTAGATTATAAGTTTATCACGTACATTTTTATATTATTCTACGTTGACTTTTTGTAGCTCAGTCCACGGACATGAGACGTGACTCCAATCTGCAGTAACGTTTTAAACATGTTTCTAATTTATTTTCTTTATTTCTGTCTATTCAATTGTGTTTCTTCATTCCTAAGCGGATTGTTTTTATCTAATTTTAAGTAGGACATGTCCTTTTATTTTGAAGACTTAATAAACAAAGAACAACAAACCTTTCAGACACTCTAAGAATTAAAACAAAATCATTTATAGTACAGGACGGCAAAACACAACTTGTAACAAATGCATTTTCGTCAAACATTTTTTTTTTACTTTACAAAATAATTTCTTGGCTAAATAACCGGTATCCACGGCATTACATTTTGACAGAACAATTTAGAAAGCTGCCAAAAATAACTGACAATGTTGTCATTTGTCAAATAGAAATCGATGTTTGTTGAAATTGAAATTCTGTCTATAAACAATACATAAAATAATAAATTGTATTCGAAATATAATATAAAACATTATTGTTTGAAAACTAAAAGGTGCTGCATTTAGATGACACTAGGACGCAAATATCAGAATTGTTCCGGGTAAATGGTTTCAATAATCCATATAGGGGTATAGCTGGCTATTGATGCATGAAGTTCGGGTCAGGAGCATTATAAATATATCAGGATTGATTTTTCCCTATTTATAGGAATGCTGGGGATACTCGTAAGGTCTATGCTAGCCAGTCGAAGTCGGGTTCTCTTTCGGGGTGCTCCTCTTCAGTAAGTCTTTAACATTTTCTGTGCAGTCTATGAATCACGCATACATTAATGGTTTCACTAAATAATTTGCATGCAATTTTATACGTTTGCTGGCATGCAAAGGATTTTTATTGACATTATCTTGAATATAAATATCTCTCCCATTATACTCTCAAAACTTTAATGCATGTTGCCTGTAAATATAAAATGTACCATGTTTGTTTATTAAAAAGGATAGTAGTATTAACTGAAATATTCAATAAATATATCTGTATAAATCTTCTTTTTTTTTCTTTTATTACTTCCTTAGTTAATGCTGAAATAAACTTTTCCAAGGGGTTCTTTCCTACCTTTTACATAAAGCCATGAGAATTGTACACGCTATTGCAACTACATGATTTTTTAGGGTTACAAATTATTACTATATAATATTTCTAATGTTTCAATCAGTCAAAATCAGATGAGTCTAAAGTTTTATGTTCTAGTTAACATTACGGCACTTTGTTAACTATGGTATAATAATATAAGAGTATATTTAATATTTTAAAATGGTAAGTGTAATTACATATTGAATAATGGAATATTATGTTTCATTAACTATATACTTATTATGTATTCATCACCCTAAGTAAGGGGTGACTAGGTGATAGTCAACCATGTTGGCCCAATGCGGGTTTGTTGATGTCACACATATCTTTGAATTTCTTCGCCGACATGTGCAGGTTGTATACATCTGAGAATTCGTAAAATCGAAGATCACATTGGTACATAGCCGGATTTGAACCCAAGACTTGTAGAATACAAGTCAAGTGCTTAAACCACTGAGCCACTGACGCTTTTGTGTATTAGTATAAAGAAATAAGTCATTGTTGTATAACAGTCTGAAATAATTTTATTTGGTTGTTCTCCAACGGCCCATTATAACTATCAACTGGCCCAATTTGAAACACACTTCTAAGTGTTATTTCGTCATACTTCACAAGTACTGATACTGAAATTTAAGCAATGCCGATAAAGACTGTTATAATTATTTTACAAAATCCACCTGCATACATAAGCCATTGCTATGTAATTACTGCTTTACCATTGTTATGTAATACCATAAGACTTTATGTAATAAATGAGATCATACATATTTAATCTAGATCTAGGTAGGTCTTCACAATTACCATATGTAATTAAATTATAAGCTAGATTGTGGACTAACCAAATAAAAATATACTAAAGTCCCTTTAAACATGTTTTGTCTATTTAGAAATTAGCAATTTCTAGCTAGAATTTTCTAGCTCTTTTAGTTTTTTAGCTTGTTTTGTTATCAACCACTTTCCAAATTTTATAGATTTCGGTGCACAACCAGCTTAATATTTCGTCTTCAAATTGTAAGCCTTGTCGTGTCTTTGACTGGCTCCAGAGATTCATGTGGACAATACAGGGTTAGGTATCTCGGTTTGCTGAGATCGGTCCTGGAGATCACCAGCAATATAAAGGGTGGGTGCTGGGGTTCTTCGGAGAGCTGGAGTAATCCATGTCCTATTCTGACGCAAAATACGCGTCGGTCGTGGAGTTGTGGAAACCGTAGCCTCTACTACTACTACTTCATGTAGACAAATGTAACTTCCAGATATCCTTGTGCGACATGATCGAGCCACCGGATTACGAGGAGGTGTGCGAGCGGTTGATGGGGGAGAAGGATCCGCTCGCATACCCAGCTAATGATATCGAACTGGTCACCGTGCCTCGCAAGATACGGACACTGAAACATGTCCTACCTGATGAAGACTTGTAAGTCATCATTTGATCATATTCAAAAACTATTATTGACTAGCTCTTGCCCACGACTTCTGTTAAGAATTAACAAAAAATATTAGAGTATGGTTCCAAATAAAAAATATGTACATAGTTATTTCTAGACTATTCTGTAAAACTATACTCGTAATCTACACTAATATTACAAAAAGGAAAGGTTTATATTTTTATATGTATGTATTGAAGTAACTTATAAATTAATTGGTTAATTAAAAAAGTCTTTTAACATTAAAAAGCTACATTATCGCTGAGTAACACAGACTTTTATTTTAATTTAACATAGACGAATTCGCGAGCATTAGCTAGTTTTGAATACAATTGTTAAAGGCATCTGTAGTTCTACTGCAGTGGTAAAGTAAAACAAACCTTATGTACAGGACGAAAGCGCCTATGTTCGTACGCGACTGCATACGATGTTATACATCGGACTATACTGTCGTTGAGTACAAGTACCGTATGTACTCTGGCTCGTCGGGCGGCCGCGAGCGGCTCGCTGAGCGGCTGGAGCGCTTGCTGACAGCGCCGCCGCATTACTATGAAGTGGACGCGGAGCCATGTGCAGCGCTTGATGATTTAGCGGTGCAGCAAGTTAGTTTACAAAAATCTATCTTTGGACTTTTTTTATTGATCTGTAGACATTAATAATGAAAAAATTTATGTGTATAACTGAATGGAATCAAATTTTTGCTGTTTCTTTAACTAAACAAAGGTGCTGTAGACCTCAAATCTTTTTACCATACTCGTCGCCAGCTGATGGTCTAGAAGAGGGGGGAGACCGATGATTAAGAGGGGCGATTTTTAAGGGGGTTTAATAGTAAAAATTGTGATTTTTTTGTTTCAAAGTTAATGATTATCAACATGTACAATTTTTAATAATAAAAGTCGTTTTTGTTCGTTTTTACATATATTGAATTTATTAATATTGTTAATATTCAAATATTCCCAGCAGTTTGAGTCTCAGCCATCAAGTGGCCGTCAGTCGGTCGCTTCAATAACTTCGTCGCTGTCATGCAATGAGACGCTGACGCCACGCGGCTCCTGGGCCAGTCTCGACCTGCAGAGCTCCTCCTCGGATCCTCTCATACCTGATCTCTTCGAGAAGAAACCTCCGGAGCAAATGGATGCTATTAACGAAGCTAGAAGGTAATTATGAAGTTCGTTTATCGTAATTTCTTTTATTTAAATACGGTATGAAAGGGACAATGTGATTGGAGGTGTTGGGTTTATGAATTTTTTAATTTATAATAACTACTAGCTGTTCCTGTGCGGCTTCATCAGCATAATTTTATTGTTTACATTTGTATAACTTTCAATTGCAAATGTTGGCCAACAATTATCGTTGGCAATCTTGCTTCTTTACTACTGTTGGCTTGTAATATTTGTCCCTTTCCCGCGTGATTAAACAAGTTTATTTTATTTTTTTATTTTTTTTTATTTTAATTTAAGATATGGAAAACTTACAGCCTAACCTTATCTAAGTAACTATAAACTAGATGACAGAAAGCCAATGAAAAGTTTTC